GGTTAAGTTTGTATGTGATTGTGCAACTAGTTTTATGTTGCACAAAGTTGTGTGTTAAAAAGGCTGAACAAACTATCTCATCTATTTCCAAAGAAACGGTTAAAAACATGGTGTTAGAACTAAGAAATAATGAAATAGAGCAAGAGAAACTATGGACAGACCTGAGCCAAATAGAAATAGAGTGATTGTCCTTTGGAAGGATCAAAGTGGGGAAATGAAGGGGAAAAACAAAATGGTTCCAGTCTGCCATTTTGTTTGTGAGCGAGTCATGTAGCCAGGTCATGACCTTGCTGTTACAGACTGGTTTAAACTAGTTTTTTTCTCCAGTAACAAGTTGAAGACATGTGCAGACTTGTCTGCGTCCTGGCTAATGTTGATTGGTTTATACTGTTCTTATGCTTATGACGTCACATTTTCTATATTACCCCTTCACTGCCTATGTTCAGAGTCAGACCTCATGGCAAAATTCTGAATTCGTGCATGACGCTGACCAGGAATGCATCCTTTATTAAACTAAGTCTTTAAATTTCGATTGGCCTGTTTGTTTGAGCCTCCGCCCAACGAACCCGGGGACGAAGTTTTCACCCACAGCCCCACTGCCAGGAGGTCTGAGTGCTGCTCTGGCCTCTGTTGCTGACCAGCAGTCAGTAATTACTTGGCAGCTGCTCCTTCCCTTTGGGCCTCATTTCTTCCCCGTGAAGCCAGATCAGGACACTTCTGTCGAGTGCCGGAGGAGAAAGAAGTGCCACGCAGCACTTAAAAGCATTTGAAGAAAAAGACTTTTCTGCCCCACTGACTGTCCTGAATGGCTGGAAGCTTTCCTGAATCCCAGGGGCTGAAAACCTATTTCAGTGAATGGGAAATGTCAAGTTTCCCACTTTAAACTGCCTCTGTTACAGATGGAAAGGACTGCAGGTTTCTTGGCTCAGGACCATTCAGCTCTGGCACCTGGTCAAATGCAGCAGTCGGACCTAATGACAGGTCTGCCCCTGCTCTTGCGTAAGCTGGGAGGTCCCTGGCAGGATGGCACATGTTGCATCAGTGAATTCAACTTCAAGGAAGATTTGGCCTGGCTGAGCTGGTTACTGGAAACCGCACTGACCCTTTGGCTGGGGGCAATTCCACCGCACGGAGCTTGTGTTTGCTTTTCTCAGCTCCACTCCCTGCACTATGTTGCCTGTAGCCTATTTAAAGCAGGGTGGCAGGAAGTCCACAGACTCATCCTTCTCCCGGTTAGGAATCTGCTGGCGAGAGACGCGGGACCTACAGAGCCGGTGAGTGCCAAGCATCCCCCCTGGGCCTGTCCATTGGGGCCCCCGGGAACATGAGGCATCGATCCCTCTGTGGAGCCTCTCAGGAGGGCATTAAATGGCCTTAGCTCCATCGTTCTCCACCTTTTTAGACACCCTCAGCTCTCAGTTTTCCCTCTGCTGTTGACTACAGAGAAGTAAGGGAGTGAAAGAGCTCAGAAAGATCACATCAGGACAGTATGCTTCTAACACTGTGCAGTCCGATCTGAAATCTCTGGGTTTATCTTGTGAATCGTGTCTGCACACCTAACAGTGCTCACATTGTGTGGCCTCTTGCAGTACCCTTGAAAGGACCTCAAGGCACCAAGGTGCTGCAGTAAACTGGTTGAGAATGAATGCCTTAGCCTCAGCTGCAGCTACGTTGTGTTTTTTGTTGGCTTGCCTGAATTTCAATAGCTAAGCCAGCACTGGCCCAGAGGGTGTGAGAGTGGGTCCATTGCTTCCTGAGCCTCAGGGCCCCCTAACCATCAGGCCAGAGGCCAGGTCTGGGAAGCGCTCCCTTTCTCTCCTGCGGGAGGGGGATCCCCCTCCGGATCCGGCTCAGCTGCGCCGGGTCCCTCCGCCCCATTTACCTTCAGGGGATCAGCTGTTGCTGCCCCCGCTGCCGATTCCTCTGCCTCTGCCTCTGCCTCTGCCTCTGCCGCTGCTGCTGCTGCCGACGCCTCCTCCGGTCAGTCAGTTGGTTAAGGGGACACACGTGCGTGCGGGACACACGTGTGCCTGACTCCTCTCCTTCCCGCTGCTGGTTCCCGAGAGGCCAGCACCTGTTGGCTGCCAGCCAACCAATTTGAAATGCATCACTGGTTGCCAGATAGACTGGCAGGGTCTCTAGCCCCCTCTCAGTCATGTTGGCATTGCTTAGAGCAACAGGGAGCGTAAGCCCCCACCCAGGTGTGTGATGCCAGTCACGTAGGCAGAGGGAGCAGGTTTGCCCCCTCCATCAGGAATATCTCCAGCTCAGGGTCACATGAAGAGATGGGGCAGAGGAGTGACCACGGTACCACATTGTCACATAGCAGAGTTTTGGAGAGAGACAGGGATGGCATTCTGCCAGGGGGGCTAGGGCTCGGGGCATGGCACTGCCCAGCCCCAGCCAGGTCAGCGAGGTGCTGCACGGCGAGCAGGAGGGCACAGGCCCAGCAGGAGTGGGCAGCCCCACTGCCAGGAGGTTTGAGTGCTGCTCTGGCCTCTGTTGCTGACCAGCAGTCAGTAATTACTTGGCAGCTGCTCCTTCCCTTTGGGCCTCATTTCTTCCCCGTGAAGCCAGATCAGGACACTTCTGTCGAGTGCCGGAGGAGAAAGAAGTGCCACACAGCACTTAAAAGCATTTGAAGAAAAAGACTTTTCTGCCCCACTGACTGTCCTGAATGGCTGGAAGCTTTCCTGAATCCCAGGGGCTGAAAACCTATTTCAGTGAATGGGAAATGTCAAGTTTCCCACTTTAAACTGCCTCTGTTACAGATGGAAAGGACTGCAGGTTTCTTGGCTCAGGACCATTCAGCTCTGGCACCTGGTCAAATGCAGCAGTCGGACCTAATGACAGGTCTGCCCCTGCTCTTGCGTAAGCTGGGAGGTCCCTGGCAGGATGGCACATGTTGCATCAGTGAATTCAACTTCAAGGAAGATTTGGCCTGGCTGAGCTGGTTACTGGAAACCGCACTGACCCTTTGGCTGGGGGCAATTCCACCGCACGGAGCTTGTGTTTGCTTTTCTCAGCTCCACTCCCTGCACTACGTTGCCTGTAGCCTATTTAAAGCAGGGCGGCAGGAAGACCACAGACTCATCCTTCTCCCGGTTAGGAATCTGCTGGCGAGAGACGCGGGACCTACAGAGCCGGTGAGTGCCAAGCATCCCCCCTGGGCCTGTCCATTGGGGCCCCCGGGAACATGAGGCATCGATCCCTCTGTGGAGCCTCTCAGGAGGGCATTAAATGGCCTTAGCTCCATCGTTCTCCACCTTTTTAGACACCCTCAGCTCTCAGTTTTCCCTCTGCTGTTGACTACAGAGAAGTAAGGGAGTGAAAGAGCTCAGAAAGATCACATCAGGACAGTATGCTTCTAACGCTGTGCAGTCCGATCTGAAATCTCTGGGTTTATCTTGTGAATCGTGTCTGCACACCTAACAGTGCTCACATTGTGTGGCCTCTTGCAGTACCCTTGAAAGGACCTCAAGGCACCAAGGTGCTGCAGTAAACTGGTTGAGAATGAATGCCTTAGCCTCAGCTGCAGCTACGTTGTGTTTTTTGTTGGCTTGCCTGAATTTCAATAGCTAAGCCAGCACTGGCCCAGAGGGTGTGAGAGTGGGTCCATTGCTTCCTGAGCCTCAGGGCCCCCTAACCATCAGGCCAGAGGCCAGGTCTGGGAAGCGCTCCCTTTCTCTCCTGCGGGAGATGTTCCACTTTGCACAAAGGCCTGGGGGCTTTACCAACCCGAGAGCACAGCGGTGGTTAGAGCCTGTCCCGCTGCGATGGAGGGCCCCAGCCCACGCACGCCCCTTCTCTCCCCCTCACCTGCCCACCCACTGCCGGCCGGCTTCCTGACCCCCTGCTCTCCTCTTTTCCCAGCTGTGAAGTCCATCATGACGCAACTCCCCCTCCTGATGCTGCTCCTCTCCATGGCCTCAACCGCCCACCTGTGCAGTAAGCGCGCGGTGTTTCTTCTTCCCGGAAATGCGCTGAGCTCGGCCTCAGGGATCCCCAGCAGGGAGGCTGGGATGGGGGTTGCATGAACAAAGGGGACGACAGACAACTGCCCTGGCAAGGCACAGGCTTCGGTGACTCCAGGCTGGGCTCTGACACCCACGGCCGGCCCTGCCATCCTGCCCACGGCTCAGGACGCGGCTGCGGGGCTGTTCCCCTGCCTGTGTCCCAGGCCAGGACTAGCAGAGACAGCTGCCGCCGGAGGGCTCCATCACTGCTGTAATGGCTCAAAGGAGCCCAGGGCAGACGTGGGCCCCGGGTGCTGGGTAAAACGATCCCTGCCCAAAAGAGCTTCCAGGGTTAGTGCCTGGCCAATTTGAGGATCCGCCCTGAGACTCCTAAAAGGGCCTGAAGGCATCTCCAGGCAGCCCCCCAAATCAGCCTGAACCAGGACTCCCAATCCTGCTCCAGCCTTGACAAGAAGTGACTTGATTTCCAAATCTCTAAGCAGCCAGTAGCTCCCTCTCACCTCAGCCCAGGTTTCCTGGTTTGCTCCGGTCTTTTAAACACATCGCACCCACCTGAAATCATCCCCAAGCTGTCCGCGTGCTTCTGTGAGTGTGCATCAGGGAGCTGTGTGCGCACCTGTGAGTGCATCTGTGGGGTGTCAGTGGGGTTGCGGGCTGCTGGCCTACTTAGCCATACTGGGGGAAAGGAGGCTGCACCTGGGATGGGGCTTGGGTCCTTTTCCCAAGGCTTCACTCTTACTTCTTCCCACTCACACCAATAAGCTCCTCAGTCCTTCCTCCCCCAGAGTGCTCTGCAGGGCTCCTCTGGTGCCCCACCGCCCACTTGCTGGTGGGCAGCGGCTCTGTGTCCTGGCCCACCTGCTCCCTGTTGCTGTCCCGCTTTGACTCAGGGGCTCCTACTGGAGCCTCCCCACTGCCTGCAGGTCTTGCTCCTTAAAGGGCTAATCGCTGGCCTTGGAGAGCTTCCCAGTCTGATCTGGGAGACACCACTGACAGCGAGGCAGCACCTGGCTGGGAATGGCTCTGCGTGCACATTGGCAGTGGATACAGATAACCAGGCACATCGCTGCAGCATTAACTCCATGCTGGCTACTCAGCCCTGCTGAGATGTTTCGTTCCAACTGTTATTTTCCCAGTTATACCTGGTTGTTGTTTGAAACCCAACTTTTCATGGAAGACAAACCAAAGTATCATGGCTGTCTGGCACTTCTTGCCTGGCAATGAGTGGGGTGGCATTCTGCGTGGTCTGTCCCCTCTCTGTGCCCTTCCCAGTCTGGGCAGACCAGCTGGCTCAGCCACAGATGCTTTTTTTCATTACAGGGTTGAGAAAATGAAAATGTCCAATTTTGAAATGGTAAAAATATCTTTTGGAGGCATGGAAGTGATGGATAATGTGAGACACATAAAACTGCCTCAGTTCCCCTGTTACAGGATAAGACCCACCCTCAAGACCTGCAGCCGGTTTAGGAAAGTGGTGCTGGTAAGCGCCAGCCTCCCCTGGCGCAGAGAAGTCAGGACTGCCCAGTCCTGCCGCACCTGCCCCCCTGCCCCTTCCAGCCTGTGGGGCAAGGCAGGGACCCAGACCTGAGGGCTGGATGCAGCCAAGCACTTCAGCAGACGTCATTGGGACTGCTCAGAATGAAGCACGTACTGTGCTGAGCTGCAGCTTGAGGGAGCCATGGAGCAATTCATTGAGGCTTACTTATACCTCAGCAGCCACAGATCACAACAAGGGGTGCTGAGCCCATCGTACCCACCCGAGTCTGCTGAAACATCCCCCAGCTGGGAGCCCCGCAGCAAGGCTGTGGCAGGATTGTCCCCGCAGCTGCACTTGAGCCGTCAGTGTCCAGCAGGCCTGAAAGGGAAGTCTCCGGACAAAGCAAAACAGCTGATTCTGGGGAGGTTCTGGCTCCAGAGAGGCCCGCAGGCTCAGGCAGGCAGGTGTGCTGAGCCCCGTCCTCCCCACGACTGGCTGCTGGCGCAGTGTAGACAAGCTCTTCTGTCCCCTTTGCTCCCCAGTGCACAAGGGGGGGGTGACCGTTTTTGCCTCGCAGGGATTTTATGAGGATAATTAATAGGTTTGGGGCCCTTTGAATCCCATGGTATTGGGCCATGCTCATACCCCAGAGACACGGCCGAAAAATGCAGCTCAGCCCTTGTTTTCCAGAACCCCGGCTATTACGATCTTCAAGCTGGAGACCTGTCTGTGTGGCACGTCCCCAACAGGGCACCGCTGAGAAAGTGGAGGGACTTGGCCATCCTGAGGTACCACACTGAGACCGGCTTCCTCTCATCCGAAGGTGGGAACCGGCTCCGGCTCTACGAGGTACCGGCAGCCTCGGGCTGGGGGCTATGGAGGCAGCGTGTGCCAGAGGGGCTGGATGACTAACAGCGTCTGTGGGGGCGGGGGGCCTGGGGTAGCGAGACAACCCACAGCTTGCATGCAGTGCTTCTTGGGGACGCAGGGGATTGAAGAAGGGACCAGAAGCCTTTGGTATCAACACAGCCTGTTTGAACAGAAGAACTAAGCATCGAAGTGTGCCACAGTGGTGAGCACCACAACCACGATTGAAATCCTATCTAAAGCAGTGGTCCTTGACCACAGTGCCACAGCGCCCCGGGATGCCACAAGATCCTTGTAAAGATACTGCAACACCCAGCTCCTGTGCAAGGAGTGCTGCATGCTCTTCCTCCTACCTGCCCCACAGTCCTGCAGACAAAGGGCACCTACAGCTGCACGCCGACAGCCCCTGCATCGGCCACTCTGAGCAGGGTGCTCTGCCACGGTTGGCAGACAAACATGTGGAGCTAGAGATGCATTCTTCAGCCCAGGGAGGTCCCTGGAGGAGCAGCCATGGCAGTGGCAGGGCTTCGTTTGCCCCCTCAGATACCGACTGGAGCGGGAAGGTTGTTTCCTTCGCCTTCCCCCTTTCTGTGCCGTATGCGTTCTGTTGCCCACCCCCGTCCCTCCAACCCACTCAGTGCCCCCCACATGCCGCATGTCCATCCCGGCACCTCATCCCTACCTGCTGCTGTACCCAGACTTTGTCTATTTGGGCCCCAGGCCTGGAGTTCAGGAAAGGATAACAAAGGACATAAATCGGCCCCTCAGTCACAGTGCCCAGTGGTGAGCTAGACCCACATGTAGGGAATCCATAGGGAAAACATGCATAGGGAGCATTGAGCCTACAAAGGTTGAGAGCCACTGGCCTAGACACTTTTTGCAGAGGGCTTACAGCTCTGTTTCATCAACCCCACTCCTTCCCAGTTCAGTGGGGTATGTGCCCCTCTCTCCTGCCTCCATTTATCTATTGCCTCAATCCCCCTGACTTCCCTTTTTCCTTCATCAGCTGAATTCACCGCTGGCTTCGTCCAGTTCCGTGTGTTCGATAATGAGAAGGCGCCCATGGCCCTGTGTTCGGGGCTGAAAGTCACCGGCTGTAACACTGAGCATGTGAGTATCTGGCTGGGCAGTACTGGCATCGTGGCCAGATTCTGGCCAGCTGAGCACTCCAGTCCGTGGCCAGAGCCCAGCAGAATCACTGAGCTACTGGAGAGGAAGACCTGCCTCCTCCTCTAACACCTGCTAGCCATGGGCTGCAAAGTAGGGACATTTTTACTTAAACTCAGCAGTGTCCAGAATGAGACTTGTGCATAGCTGGATAGATACATCCTCAGCCAGTGAATAAACCTCCTGCACATGTTTAGTTCACACTTACATGTCCACCCTTCTGGGGCAGCAGCATTACTCTGTGTGTGTGTGAGTGCCAAAATCACCACTTATGCAGCTAAACAGCTGCTATTTAGAGGCTCGAAGGGAAGTGGGATTTCACACCTCGCTAGTAAAATAGGAATCTGCCCTCAGAGTCTCACACTTGGTTAAGTTATTCCACAAATGCTGTCTCTTGCTGCAGCCTGGAGCCAGGATGTCAGAATTAATGGGCTCCTGCTGTGCTCCAGTGTGGCACTGCCTCCCTTCTCTGCCAGCATTCCCGCTTGGACGTCAAGCTGGAGGCTCCTGGCTAGAGGGTCTTGCCCCTCCACTCAGGATCAGACTGATGCCATATTTGGGGTCGGGAAGGAATTTTCCCCCATAGTCAGATTGGTACAGACTGGGGGGATTTGCCTTCTTCTTTAGCGGGGGGCACAGCCTCTGCCTGGGATCTCTTGAGTGTACATTAACAACATTTTACAGCAGCAGGATGTTGGCTGCCACAGTCCCCCTGCTTTACCTGTGGCCAGTTCGGATTTGATGTCTTGTGTTGTGTCAGGGATGATGGTAGTTTTATGAAGGGTTTAGGCAAGGGATTTGTATGGGATGGTTTAGAAAGGGATGATCCTGCCTCAGGCAGGAGGTTGGACTAAGTGACCATGGAGGTCCCTTCCAGGCCAGCTATGCTTCTCTATGATTCTGTGATTCCTTCCAGCACTGCATAGGCGGCGGAGGTTTCTTCCCAGAAGCAAACCCAAGACAGTGTGGTGATTTCCCTGCCTTCGACTGGACTGGCTATGCAACCCATCAGAGCTGGAGCGTGTCCAAAGAGATGGCAGAGTCTGCGGTGCTGCTGTTCTACCGCTGAATACCGGGAAGCCAGCTTCCCCGATGAGACAACATGACTTCACATCTGCCAAGGCCACTCCCTGGAGAGAGAGACTCTCCCTCAGGACTCAGCCAGTAATGAGACAAATAAAGACTCTCCATTAGACTCAGATCTTGGTTTGACTTGCTCCTTATGTGATCCAGAGACAGGTTCTCTGCACTCCTGTGGTTGCCATGTTATTGATTACTGCAGGACTCTTGGGTGAATGAATGCCATCCAGTCCCAGTGACTTTAATTAGAGGCCAGGAAGAAATATTTTAATGCCCTGTTGGCCAGATTTTTTTTTATTTCCAATGAAGCATCAGGGTTTGGCCATCGCTAGAGGCAGGATGCCAGATAGGTGGCTCACTGCTAGTAGAGGATCTCTCCACGGTACTCGGCTGCTGAGTTGCTCAGATGCTCAGGGTCAAACTGATCCCCAGATCAGGAGTCAGGAAAGCAGCTTTCCTCAGTTATATCAGAAATTTGGGAGATTTTGCACTTTTTCCTTCAGCCTGGGTACAGAGATCCATATGCACACCCTGGCTAACTAGATTCCTGGCAATGCCTTGGGCACCAGTGGCATCTTGGTCTCTCCTGTTCTTTGTTTGGGACACACAACCACTGGCAGTCACCTGAGGACTGAACTGTTTTGGTCTGACTCAGGTTGCTGGGCTCAGTTTCAGGCTATCTGGTGAAATGCAATGGCTTGTGGGAAAGAAACGGTCAGACTTGATGACTTAGCCCATTCTGGTGTTAAACTCTGAAACCACAAAGACCAGAGACACAGTGCAGCAGAATCAGAAGCCATAGGGCAGAAAGCCGAGGAGATGTGAAGCCTGGAAGTAGCATGATCTGAATCCAAGGTTATAACTATTTCTCCGCATGGATCATTATATACCTTCTCACATCTAAGAATGGATGAAGCCAGGGGTGGCCAACCTGCAGCATGTGTGCCACAACCAGCATGGGCAGCCTCTGCATGTGACAGGCTGCAGATTGGGGAGAGGACAGGCATCACACAACAGATAGGGTAGGGAACAGAAAGCAAGAGCTGCAGATCAGGCAGGGAGGATAGAGGAGGGAGCAGACAGCAGAGCAGCAAATTGGGCAAGGGAAGGGGGTCAGAGTGGCACTCAGGGCTGGCGAGTGGCATGCTTGGCACAACCCCACTGGGTTAAGTCATAGAAAATCTAATGTGTTCTGTGAAGCATCATGTGGGACCGTCTCCTATCCTGGGGCTGTGACTTACCGAGCTGGTCACCGGTGGGCAGGGTCCAATGCACAAAACAGGCAGCCGCAGGGAGCTTTCCATGCATGCATCCAGCTGTGGAGGGAGCCTGCCTAAGGGTCTACAAGGTCTTTTTGCCCCAGTCAGTCTTTGACCTCCTTGCCAAGACAGCCCTGAAGACAGTTCATTGCATTGTTTTTAGTCCACTTCAAAATGGTTCCCCATTGCAACCGGGCAGCTCAGCTCTGTACTGAGAGCTGTGCTCAAATGGGGCTGCAGTTGCAGAGATGAATGTCTAAAATGCCCAGGCAGGAAGGGGATTCATTTTGCCCGTGCAGCAGATTGGCCTGTTCACACTAGCCCAGCCGAGCTCCCCAAACCTGATGGAAATAGCAAGATATTCAAATCAAGCAGCTGCATGAGCAGAAAAAAACGTATCAAGAGGAGGAAAAGAATGGCCCGCACAGATCCCCCTCTCGTGCATCTGATGCTGCCTACAAAAGCCTATGCCTTTCTGAACCTGCCTTCTGCCTGACTTCAAACTAACAGGGCTACTGACTTCTCTCCTGGTCTCACTTCACATCTTACGATAGTTGATGTTTGCCCTAGTCGCATCATTTTGCCAGCATCTTATCAGCGTTAGGGCTGTGCGAGGCTTCAGACCATGCTTCGGAGCCAGAGAAGCTTCGGATGCTTCGGCATCTGAAGCAGCATGTCCGGATCGAAGCGCTGGCTTCTTTAGGCTTTCCGAACCGCTTTGGAAAAGCTTGGGAGCCGCTTCAGAGATCTGGCCATAGGGTATAATGAGGAATCAATGAACTATCTATAACTTTGTTGTTTTACGTCTGGTTTGGATGAAACATGCAGGCATGGTAGCCTCTGCTGAGAGCATGAAACCCGCCAAGTTTCAAGAAGATCGGTGTAGGGGTTCAGGAGGAACTGCACCCCAAATTCTTGAAAGCAAAACTCATGTCACATAAAAATATTTCATTGATTCCCTATTATACCCTATGGCCGGATCTCCAAGGCGGCTCCGAAGCTTCAGAGCTGCTTTGGCCGGATCAAAGTGGGTAACTGATCCCGAGCTCCGGATCGGATCCCTGGCATCCGAAGCGGCCGGATCCGAAGCCAGATTGAATAACTGCCGACTCGCACGGGCCTAATCAGCATCTATTTTCAAAATGAAGACGACGGTCCAGCCCCTGTGGCTGTGGAGGGAAGCTTGTAAACACGCAACCTCGGGTTCAGAAAACTAGAGGGCAAATAAAAGAAATGCAACTCTTTTTTTTTTAAATCACATGATCTTCATAGAATTGCAGAGCAGCAGGGCTGGAAGGGAACTTCTGGAGGTTATCTATTTCAACCCCCTGCTTGAGGCAGGATCTTCCCTATCCAAACCATCCTAGACAAATCCCTGTATAACCTATTAGTAATACTGCAAGGTCAACCCTGCCCCACAGCTGCAAGACCTAGCACCCTCACCTGCCACAGGT